TTTTTTTTTTTTTTTTTTTCTTTTTTGGTTATTAACCTGTTATTAGCTAACTGCCTTGCTGAGGCCAAAACGTTCCTAAAATGCCAATAAGTTGTGCTATTGATACGAAAGATGTTGAGATTGTGACACATGTTGCTTTTCTTTGGGGGGTAAGCAGTTATTGTCTTGTTTCCAACTGCCCAACCCATTGTTTTCCTATTGTCTAATTTCTAGAACATAGAGCTTTGCCAAAAAATTTAGGAGTCAATAGCAACGTATGTTCTTGACTCTCAAGTAATGATGTGGTTCTCTTTGAAGGCTTATGCGGTGACAGCTCTCATGAAAGTATATGCATTTGAGAAGATGTCCGGGAGAAGAGTGGATGTGCTACCTGAGGTAAATTTAAGACGTTTATGCTTGCTGTTCTTTATTTTGTTCTGTTATGAATGATCTCACTGAAAGAATTAAAAATTCAGCTGGTTGTTGAATTCAATGCGTGGAACTTGGAAGGAAAAAAATTGCTTATTGTTCAATGACTTTGTTGCTTTCCCCTTCCATGTCTCGGTTTCATTTTTCATTTTGATTTAAATCTTGATATCGAGCATCTGATGCTTGTCACGAGTATTTCCCCTTGTTATTTTTTACAAATTATAAATAGTAAAAATATCTATTTATTATGAAATGGTCTACTTCTTCCCTGGTTGCAGTGTCAATCTTTGATTGAAGAATTATCAGCATCCCACTCAACAGATCTGCAGCAACGTGCGTATGAATTGCTGGCCACCTTATGCTTAGATGCTCAAGCTGTTGAGAATATAATGCCAGCTGATGCAAGCTGTGAAGATATTGAGGTCACATTTCTCACTGCAAGACTATTTATTTCCTTTTCCTTACTGGTCATAAAGGAAAGACCAGTCGATGTCTTCTTATGAGAACGTTAAACTGGTTTCGAGTTTGTCTATATGGTTTATTGCTTCTCCTCTATTTTCTAAGTGAACTTCTTAGGTCAACTTCTCTTCTTAATATACATATGCTATTCTTTTCTGATTTCCGTTTTGAAGTTCATAATCTCAAGAAAAGTTTGGTATGTTTGGTATGCACTTTTAAATGTTTAGGGAGGGCTATAATTGTTCTTTTAAAAAAATGAGACTGTTTTGGTTAGAACTTGAAAGAGCTGTATTAGTCTTTTTGCACTTCTTAAAATTTTTAATAATCAAAATTAACGAATTACAATCACTCAAAAGTGCTTTTAATCGAAGCATTTAATTAGTTTCCTTCAAAGAAGTGTCAGTTTAATGTACTTTTGAAACAGGCATCCCAAACTCATTTTTAATCACAAAATTTATTGAATTTGATATTATGCTGTAGTAGTAATATACTTCAATTCTCCTTGCAGATTGATAAAGATCTATCGTTCCTCAACAATTATGTGCAACAGTCACTAGAAAATGGTGCACAGCCTTACATTCGTGAGAGTCAGCGATCTAGGATGGATGACATCAGTGCCATCAAAAGTCTTGACCAGCGTGAAGTTGTGTCGCACAGCCTTCGGTTTGAGGCCTATGATCTCCCAAGGCCTCCAGTGCCATCAAGCGTCCCTCCTATTTCGCCTGCAGTCTCAGCTGAATTGGTTCCTGTACCAGAGCCATATCATCCTAGGGAGACGTACCAGTCTACATCAGATCCTTCTGTATCAGATGATGGTTTGACTCGAGTCAAGCTACGACTTGATGGTGTTCAGAAGAAGTGGGGCAGGCCGACGTACTCCTCTTCTGGTTCCTCTGTGTCTACTTCCACTCCTCAAAAAGCAGTAAATGGTGTTTCACAAGTAGATAGTACTAGTTCTGTAAGCTCAAAACCCACGACTTATAACTCGAGAACTTCAGAACCTGAGATTTCTCAAGAGAAACAAAAGCTTGCGGCCTCCTTATTTGGAGGTTCATCCAAAACCGAAAAAAGGGCACCTTCTGCTGCCCATAAAGTTACCAAGGCACACCATGGTGCTGATAAGCTTCATGCAGCCAAGAAAGCAGTCACATCTACGGAAGTTGCTGTGCCTAAGGCAAGCCACCAACCACCTCCTCCCGACCTCCTCGACTTAGGTGAACCGGTTGTCACCAGTAGTACACCATTTGTTGATCCATTTAAGCAGTTGGAAGGGCTTCTTGATGAAAGCCAGGTTTCTTTGACCGTGAATTCTAAACCTGTTGAACCTAATAAATCTCCAGATCTTATGGCATTATATTCTGGGACAGCCATGAGTGGACAAGGAAGCAATTTCTTGGATCTTCTATCCTCCAACAAGGATGATTTGAATCTTTCTTCTGGATTGTCAAAAGTGGCCGCAAAGACGGGTCAGGGAGAAACTATTGTTTCGAATCTGACACAATTTAGCAAGGGACCAGATGCAAAGGCATCTTTGGAAAAGGATGCAGTTGTTAGGCAGATGGGTGTGACCCCTACCAGTCCGAATCCGAACTTGTTTAAAGACTTGCTTGGCTAAGAAATTTCCGGGAATGCCCGAGCGAGACTTGTTTATGATTTGTGCGCATTATCATCTTCTAGCAGATTGGCTTTGTGATGGGAAATTACAGTTATGAAAGACAATTGAAAAACTGCACACGCACCCGGAACGAACTGCATAAAAACCTCGAAGGCTGTTAAAAATCAAGTGCAGGTATGTATTTATTTTCCGATCAGTTTACTTTTTGTAATATTAGAGACAATGTCGAGTTTTTGTACAAGTAGACTTGGGATTTCAGACGAAACTCGTTTACGACGAGTGAGAAAAGTGGCAAAATTTTCCAGCACGCTTCGGGTTTTGGAAAACTGAGGAGGCAACCAGAAAATATTGTGATGTTTGTTTTGTCTCTTATTTTCTTTGACCCCCAGGAAGAATTGAGAGGCCATTTTGTTACATATTTGATTACAATGCTGAATAAGGGAAGGTTCTTTCTTCGTCTTTTACTTTTTATTCTTTTTCTCTTGTAAGAGAAGTATATTGGACAGGTCTCTTTGCCACCTGTTGCTCGTTGGGCGAATGAATTGCATTAGTGCGATTTGGCTTCCGACCTTCTGGTCGTGGATATAAACCTTCACCCTTCATGATATGCTTAGATTAGTGAACCATGAGAACCTCCTTGCTTATCCTCTCTTTTTTCTCACTTTTTTTCCCCGAGTTCAACACAACAGGTAGTAACCTTTTGGTCTAGGATATAAACCGTAACAAGTCGAGTCAGCTTAGGTCGGTGAGAACTCTTTTCCCGTCAATAGTTGCTCCAAACTTCACCTTTTGCCATGCTGTTTATTACTTGCACATTCACTGGTTTCTATTATTTATCTATATCTAATGTAATTTGCACAAAATTGCTAAAGTTGAAGTTAGGTATGGTAAGTTTCTATAAGTATGAAGGCTATGGTCCAAACTTATGGACGACTAAAGTCTAGTGATCGTCTAACTGAGATACTAATGGTGGCTCGTTTGATAACGCTCTTTAGGTTCTCGTTTTCTATTTCTATTTCTTGTTTTTCATTTTCTTTAAGAAAAAAACAAGTTTGATAAACGAACTTATTTCTAAATTTATACTATCCTTAATGTCTCGTTACCAACACATAAAATCATATGTAGCAATAGCATCGTTTTAAAGTAAATTAGTTAAATCGTGAGATTTTACGAATAACACTTGGATGATATATTTTATTTATTTATTTATTTTGCTTTGGGTTTATTAAATTAATTAATTATTAAATAAACGTTATTATTTTGATATATTTTTCAAATATGATCTAATCGTTTTATCTTTTTCAAATATGTGCATATATACATACATATATATATTGTATACTTCATAAATAAATAGTTATAAAATTGTTGCCATTTTGGGATGAAATACTGTTTTAAATCTTCTTTTTGAAATTGTATTTCTTATTTAATGTTATTTTAAATATGATTTTCCTTATTAATTTACTTAATAAAATTATTGATATTATAAAGTTTTTTTTTTAAACATTTTGTTATATATTTCTACAACTTTTATTATTATTATTATTATTATTTTTGTTAACAAAAAAAAAAAAGAAAAGAAAATATGATATATAAATTATGCAAATATATTTAAAGAAAAAAGACAGTAAATATTTTATGAGTTGACCAACTAATGTATAATTTAGGTTATAACAGACTAACTTTTACAGCTCGGGCGAGATTTTGATAAGGCTGATTATTTGGTAACTCATTTGGGGAGAAAAAAGAAAAGAAAAAAAAAAAAAAAAAACCCTCCGAAAATTACCGCCGTTCGGGTTGCATCTGAAAAAACCCTAGAAGCTTACTTGGAGACGTGCGTGTGCCATACGCTTTGCTCGTATCTCCTCTTCGCTTCTCAGCGCACGTTGTTCTTTGATTCCACCTTCTTTTCCTATCTGATTATCTTCCGCTACCTTCAGTTTTTCATTCTTGGTGAGTTTTCTTTATTTCGTTTTTATGTTTTCTCCATCTAGGATTTTTGGACGATTTGATTTTGATTTGGTTTGTATGTATCTAATTGTTTCTGTAGTTCGGCGCAGTGACTGATGGCGGATCGATTAACGCGTATAGCTATTGTGAGTTCGGATAGGTGCAAGCCGAAAAAGTGCCGTCAGGAATGCAAGAAGAGCTGTCCCGTAGTTAAGACAGGTATTTTATGCTCGTTTTCGTATTAGTATTTTTTAATTGAGAATCAAGTTGTTATGGTTTTGTAGATTTTGATGTTCTTGGTCTGATCTACTGTCCGATAATGTATGGGAGATTAAGGTTGCCACTGGATAGTTACTAATTTTTCTGTTCTAGTAGGGTTGTATAGTCATGTATTAATGTCTGTCTTTGGGCCAGAGAGTTCTAATTCAACTAGTTTGTTCCCTGGAGTAATTCGATGATACAACTTTATTCGGATACCTATTTTTTTCCTTACCGGAAAACGTAGAATTACCTTTCAAGACAGTCGCCAAAGCACCCAGCGACTTGGACTTGAACTGGTTCTTCATTCTGATCGTAGTTAAAGTGTTCGATTGCGGAAACTTTTATAAAACAGTCGTCTGTCGTTGTGCGTATTTCGTATATTCGTTTGCATCATTAATAATTTTCAATTAGCCTAAAAAGGGTATCTACTTTTATGAGTAGTTAATAGAGTGGTGGTTTTTTTGATTTTCTTTTCATTGCTTACCTTTTTTTTCTGGGCGGATTATTCCGTTTCTGGGGTTGATTTCATTGGTCTTCTCGTAGTGTTCAATTTTTCAATCTCTTAAGCATGTATTATGTACGTTTCACCATTTGAATGCTGACTTGATACGAATTATGAACAACTCCTTTGTATTATTGTTACTATAATTATTATAATATATTTTTTTGTGATCATTGATTCATGCAAAAAATTTCTTGTTTTGGGTCTATTTGTTTGCTACCTCATTAATTTTAATCTCTTTGCAGGTAAACTGTGTATTGAGGTCACCCCAGCCTCTAAGATCGCTTTCATCTCAGAAGAACTATGTATTGGATGCGGTATATGTGTTAAGGTTTGTGCAAGTTATGGTTTGTGTGTGTGTGTGTGTGAATCATTGTGATATATTTCTTGTGAGATATAGAGTAACTATAATACATTGATACAGAAATGCCCATTTGAAGCAATTCAAATCATCAATCTGCCGAAGGATTTGGATAAAGATACAACGCATAGATATGGTGTCAACACCTTCAAATTGCACAGGTTATTTCTTTGCCAAGCTTGTAAAATTATAAATTAGTTTCATGTGGTTCCGAAATTGGAGGACAATGTGGTTGCAGGTTGCCAGTTCCTCGGCCTGGGCAAGTTCTTGGTTTAGTTGGAACCAATGGTATTGGGAAGTCCACTGCACTGAAAGTTTTGGCTGGAAAACTGAAACCAAATCTTGGTCGTTTCAATGTAACGTTCTCCATTGCCTTCTCTGATTCGCTTTGTTGTGAAATATAGCTCACACCCTTTACATGCATATTTTCAGAACCCCCCAGATTGGCAGGAGATATTGACCTACTTTCGCGGATCTGAGTTGCAGAATTATTTTACGCGTATCCTTGAAGATAATCTAAAGGTAATACTAAGATGCTTTCCTTCACATCTTGTCCATGTTTTCAAAAAATAATGTATCTAGTGAATGGATATTGGTACAAAATACCATGTAGGAATATTTTTGTTCATTCCTACTTTTCTTGATGCCCTTATGAAATTTGAATCTATTATCTTCGTTCTTAACTGATTAGTATCCTAAAAAATTCACCATATTTCAGCAGGGATTAAATAGCAAATCTGAAGAAACTTTATGAAAACTTTAGATTACAGTTCTGATTGTTTTTGGAAATTTATGGGGAAGTGCATTAGCATTTTGACCTTTAATCACTGGGAGGGGAATGGTAAGATATAAAACTGATGGTACCTTTGCTACGATAAACGCCATGTTAACTGCTTAGCTTGCAGACAAAGGAGACTGCGGTGCTTTCATTCTCCAGAACTGCATCAATTAGTTTTGTAATCTCTATTGGGTTTCCTGTTGGAGAATAGTATTATGGTTTATTTCTATTATTGAACATAGATAAGGAAGAGACATGCTTGGAGTTCTACTTAATGCATCTTTTAAACGAACAATTTTATAATGTCATTGTGCCAACTCCCACTTTCTGAAAAAAAATTAAGATTACTTTAGTGATTATGTTTCTTTCCATTATTGAAGATTTCATGATGTTCTTTATGGCATCTCTTTTAGACCCTGATTACCTTTGACACCTTATAATTCCTGCATTGATTGCGTACAAATAACTGAATGTTTTCAAGGATGGATGTAGTAACATGCTTCATCAAAGTTTACTTTGTTGATCCATTCTTTACTTTTACGTCAGGCAATCATAAAGCCCCAATATGTTGATCACATTCCAAAAGCAGTTCAAGGGAACGTTGGCCAGGTGCTAGAGCAAAAAGACGAGAGGAATGTGAAGGAAGAACTCTGTCGTGATCTAGAACTTAATCAAGTTATAGATCGCAATGTTGGTGATCTGTCTGGTGGAGAACTTCAAAGATTTGCCATTGCTGTTGTTGCCATACAGAATGCAGAGATCTATATGTTTGATGAACCATCAAGTTACCTTGATGTGAAACAGAGACTTAAAGCTGCTCAAGTTATTCGATCTTTGCTTCGGCCCAACAGGTAATTTTTGTGTATTTTATTATATTCCTTGCCATTTTATGTATGCATACTTATTTTTCTTACGTTAGTTTGATGTTGTTCATGCATCCTTTTTCAGCTATGTAATTGTTGTCGAGCACGATCTTAGTGTCTTGGATTACTTGTCTGACTTCATTTGCTGTCTTTATGGGAAACCGGGTGCATATGGAGTTGTGACCCTTCCCTTCTCGGTTCGAGAAGGAATCAACATCTTCTTGGCTGGTTTTGTTCCCACAGAAAATCTACGATTTAGAGATGAATCTCTTACCTTCAAGGTGGTGATTATGCTGACTTTCAAGTCCAGATTGCAACATTGATGTGATTACAATTTGTCCTTACTTTTTTTCTCTTCTAGGTTGCTGAGACTCCTCAGGAAAGTGCTGAGGAAATTGAAACATATGCACGATATAAGTACCCCACCATGACTAAAACTCAGGGAAATTTTAGGCTCCGTGTGGTTGAAGGTGAATTTACTGATTCTCAGATTATTGTGATGCTCGGTGAGAATGGAACAGGAAAGACAACATTTATTCGTATGCTGGTATATTTGGTCTTTCCATTATTTTCTTTTTTAGTAAATAATAATTCTCCAAGGAGTACATATCTGCTTCCTAAGCATTAATCGCACCATTGACTACATTTGCAGGCTGGTTTGTTGAAACCTGATTCTGTTGAAGGTTCTGACATTGAAATTCCCGAGTTTAACGTTTCCTACAAACCCCAGAAGATCAGTCCTAAGTTTAAATTTTCAGTCAGGCACTTACTACATCAGAAAATAAGGGACTCCTATATGCATCCGCAATTTGTTTCAGATGTAATGAAGCCATTGCTTATCGAACAATTGATGGATCAGGAAGTTATGAATCTTTCTGGAGGAGAGTTGCAGAGAGTTGCCTTGTGCCTTTGCCTTGGAAAGGTACATTTACCTTGTGACTTCAGTCTTCCTTTCAAGATACAATCTTTTGCATTTAATATTTAATAATTACAGGGAAATGATTAACATATTTGCTTTATTCGAATGCTTGCAGCCTGCGGATATTTATCTGATAGATGAACCTAGTGCTTACCTTGATTCTGAGCAGCGTATTGTTGCTTCAAAAGTCATTAAGAGGTTTATCCTCCATGCAAAAAAGACTGCCTTTGTGGTCGAACACGATTTTATTATGGCCACTTATCTAGCAGATCGAGTTATTGTATACGAGGGTCAGCCATCAATCGATTGTACTGCTAACGGACCTCAGTCGTTGTTGACTGGAATGAATCTCTTCTTATCTGTATGACATGCTATCTACCCTTGATTCACATTCTTTCTTTTTTATTATTATCATACCATATCCTAAGAAGCATTACCATGGTTGTTGACAAACTGTGATCAATTGCAGCATCTCGATATTACGTTTAGAAGAGATCCAACAAATTACAGGCCAAGAATTAACAAGGTGGACTCGACAAAGGATCGGGAACAAAAGTCCGCTGGCTCATACTATTATTTAGATGATTAAGAATTCTGCAGGGTACTTATTCATTCCTCCACAATTTCTCTCAAATTACCCTCCTACATTTTCCTTATAAAAGGTACTTTTCTCTTGTTTGCTTGCAGATGCTGTATTTTTTTTTTTCTTTCAACTTAATGAGGACACCATTGCTGACTCCAAATCGTTGAATCTCCATATCTTTATAAGAAAGAGGTGAAAACGAGGAGGATGTTTTCAATTTGTGGAACCTGTGTTTGTGCTTATTTCGTAATGAAGCAGGGCATGCACCTTCCTCTGATTCTCTGGATGTGTAGTATCATTCTCTCATGGTCTGCGCCTTGCAAGTTCAACAGTTTTGTCAGCCATCACAAGGCAAGTCTGAATGTTCGTTCACTTCCCCCCCCCCCCCCCCCCCCC